TAGATTTCTTCCTCCCTTGATATCTTTGGTCTAGTCCGCTGTGTTAGGTCTCTTCAATCCTCGATATCTCTGGTTGAGTCTGTTGTGTTAGGTCACTTACACCTTTGATATCTTTGGTCGAAATTGTTGTGTTATATTTCTTCCCCTCTCGATATCTCTGGTTGAAATTGCTTTGTTAGATCTCTTCCATCTTCGATATCTTTGGTCCAGTCCGTTGTGTTAGGTCTCTTACTCCCTTTGATATTTTTGGTCGAAATCGTTGTGTTAGATTTCTTCCTCCCTCAATATCTTGTTGAGATCACTTTATTAAAACTCTTCCTTCCTTGATAACCACTATTCATCCAAAAAAAATAATATCTGACTAGCTTCAGAGTGCAAATTTTATGGTTCTATTGAGTATTCAATCCTCTTTTATCTTGATTGTTTGAAAGGCGTTAGTCAATCTCACCGTATGGTTAAAGAAGATTGAATATGGGCAGCTGTTGTACCCCAAAATTCTCCCTTTTCATATTAACCCTAATTGGCTTATACTTCATCATCATATGCATATGTACATGTCATTGGGTCTATACTCATGGAATAAAGGTATTCTCTGAAAGAAAAAGTGGCGAAATTGATTGTTCCGTTAAATAGCATTGTGAAGCAGAACTCAGGGTTTTCCGTATTTTTGTACACTCCACATTACATTCCAAGCTTTCCAATCAATAAAAAAGCAATTCATCTTCATATCAACTCTCATGTGTCTCAACACGCTCTAAATAGTACAGAAAGTCAAGCATTCGATTTGATTTGAGATAGTGCAGACGGAAATTCGGTACGGTGTGTTTAAAGCTCAGAAATTCATAACTTGAGATCAAAAAATTGTTTGGGAATGATTCTTCAGTTATTATAACCGTCTCGAGGTCTTCTTCATTTCATTATTTCATGTTGAAGGATAATTTTGTGAGGAATATTTTCTAAAGCGCAAAATACCTGAAATGCGTTATACCATGGATTTACCGCTTCTCTGGTTTTCTGATGCTTAAAAATTCATAACTTATGACCAAAAAATATTTTTTGAGTTCCTCTTGGAGCATTTGAACCGTCTTGTTATTTCCTATGAATTTCATGTTCGGCTCAAAAGAAAATTCATTGAGAAAGATCTTCGAATGCGCGAGTACTTTGAAGTTATACAGTGGAAAAACAATGAAAATAATGTGTTAAACCGTTATTTTTTAAATGTTCAAAAATTCACAACTTTTGCCATGTTCATTGTTTTTGGATGGTCCTTTGGAAGAAAATCCATCTTGATTTTATCTTCGATTTTTATGTTCGGATCAGGAGCTAATTCCTTTCTGAAGGTTTCCTAAAGTGCCAATTACTGGAGAAAATTGCATGCCAAAACTGTTTTCCACCGGACTGTTTCTCGATATTGTAAAAATCATAATTCCCTCGATTTTTATTGTATCATGACGATTTTTGAGGTGTGAGTTCACAAATTTTGTAAGATTTAACTTTGCTTCAAAGCTCGAGGTCAGATTGTTCTCCGAAGGCTTTGGTTTATGGCTCGCATCCAAAAGTGCGCACGAAAATAAGCTGAAATTTTCAATACAGTGAAATAATTCCACTGTTTCTTGTCATTCAAAAAATGACAAAATTTTCAATTTTTATCGTATCAGGGTGATTCTTTTGGCACGACATCACAAATTTCATCGCCGACATTTTAGCTTCAAGCCTCGAGCCCGAATTTTTCACCGAGAGGCATGACCTTGTGGTTTGTTCGCGCACCATACACTGAAGAAGCTGTAAAATTCTGCACTATGAATTTTTACAATGCGCTTCTCGTTGTTCAGGGCGACATAACTTGCTTAATTTTTGTCGGATTAAGACGATTCTTTCTGTGCCGCGTCACAAATTTCATCATCAAGAGCTTTTTCTCAAGTCGTGCGTCAAGATTTCGCATTGATTATCATGAGCTTGTGGTTCAATCTCACATTGTGCACAAAATAGGTTGAAATTTCAATTTTGGAGCCAAGAATATATATTTTGAATTTCAAATCTCAAACACAATAACACAATAATTTTCACATTTCACAAGATTAAAACAAAAACCCTTTCTCTTTTTCTCTCAACTTTTCTTCATCTTCTTCAAGAAAATCAACACAAACTTAACAAAATTCACTCAATCTTCTTCCTCTCCAACCGATTCCACGAGCATAACTCCCTCCTCCTCTCTTTCTGACGAACACAATTGGAACCACCATCGGTTCCCCCTCTGTTTTCCGTGAACAACTGCGGAACTCATCTCCCTCCGACGCGATTTTAAATTTCCGGCGACTCCTTCATCTTCTCTGGTAGCTTCTGCGGACAACATCACCTTCATCTTCTCTAATTCGTCACTTCGTTTTAGAAGGAAATTCATTGCGACGCCATTGTTCGGTTTTTACTATTTGCTCGTGTAAAATTGCTTGGTGCATGACATTATCATGGAACATGCATAGCTTGCGATTTATTTTCGCATTGTTATATTGGATGATTGTATTGGATATTGTATATGATCTGATTTGTTGTTGATGCTAGCTTGGTTGAAGTATTCTGGGTTTCTTTGGCTTGTACTCGCTATATAATAGAATCTTATCCATTTGGTATATTCTTGCTTTATTTTTCTGCATGTGTTTATCGCTTTTCTAATGCCATGAGAAGTAGGATAGAGATGCATGTTCTGGGAGTCCCTTTGAGGAAAATATGGTTTATTTAAAGACGTGTTTAAGGAAATTCTACTTGTGTTTGTTTGTTTACCACCTTGTTTTTTTATATTTGTGCCAAAGACCTCGATGAAGGCGTCCTATTCTCATTCCCCATTGATAAGTCCTCAAAAGGAGGCATAGGAGACAAAGGGTCCACAATCGACCTCGCCATTTCTATTTTGTGTCGTTCCTAGCTTGCGCTATGCATTGATGCTTTAAACCTTATTTCTCATGTTATCGAGTCGGTCATATGGAAAAGGGATTTGTAACCAATCCCCCACACTTTGTCTTTAGCTCGCATTTGTGAAACGTTGACGCTTTGACATGATCTTAATATTTCCTTTTATCTCCTACCTTGATTTTTGATATCTTGGTCAGGTGTTTAGTTGCTTATAACGATTCACTTTTGTTCTTATCTTGCCACAATTATGTGATATATTGGTTAAGATTCAACACCCCTTTTCCTTCTTGCCTTGATGATTTGATATCACGGTTAAGAACCATTATTCCCCAATTTTGCTTGCTTCGACGATTCGATGTCTTGGCTAAGCATCCCATTATCCTACCTTGATGATTTGATATCATGGTTAGGTGTCCCACTTCCTTTGTCCCACCTCAATGATATGATATAGTGGTTAGGCATCTCTTTCCTTATCCTACCTTGGTGCCATGATGCCTCGGTTAAGTGTGTACTACTTGAGTGAGTGGATACTCCTCAAGCTTTGTTTGTGTGTTTTGGTTTCGACTTTGTGTGATCGCACTTGTGTGCGTGTTTCTTTAGGTTTTGAACCTTTAACATGTTCCATTAAGATCTCTCAATTCAATACTTGATGGCGATTCGAGATAGACATTAGGTTGTGAACCATGCATACTAACTTAGTTAGAGGCTACCCTTTTTATCCTTGACCTTAGGGCCATCATTGTATGATAACATTAGGGATTAGATTTAGGATAGTTTCCCTTAGATTTTTTCTTTTCTTTTTGCATCCTTAAAACTAAAACCTTTTTTCTTTGACAAATGCATAAAACATCTAATACTTCTCAAATTCTTTTTCAAGGTAAAAAACACCAACAAATACAAATCTTTTTGTCTTCGAGCTTTCTTTTTCTTTTAAAACCTTTTCTATAAGGATGTGTTGTTTCAAATTGGAACAACTTGGAAATGCTAAGTGTGTGAGGGGCCGAGCATGAGTCTCTTTACGAGCTGAAAAGCCAAACATGAATTGCAATCCTAACTGTAAGGATGCAAATGCAGCATTATAAAAAAAACATAAAACAAACAGAAACTATTGAGCCGAACTACGCCGTTCTGGTTCTTTAAAAGGGATACGTAGGCATCTGGACGCGGGGCTCTGCCGAGCCAAACTTTGTAAATATTCCTTATTTTTCCCGTGTTTTCTTATGCATGCATTCCTTCTTTTCATTTTTCCTTTTAGACCTCAAGTTGTAGAGTTGAGCACACCCTTTGATTAGAATAAACAGAGTGGATCTCGTGGAGTACCACAGAAGTAAGGGGTGCTAATACCTTCCCCTTGCGTAATCGACTCTCTTACTCGTATCTCTCAGTTGTTTGACATTGATTTCACACTTTTCAGGTTTACTCGATATTTATGTTTCCCTTCCTGTGGGATAAAACACGTTCGATGGTGACTTTATTGATTTCATCTTGATGATTTATTCCGTCGGTTGTTTCAGTACCCGCGATTTTTTATGGTATGCGATGAAAGTTTCGTCATAAAAAAAGTTATTTGTTGTAGTGACAATTATAATGATTTTTTAGATAAACTATTTTATAAAACATAATATAGAAAATTTAGATAATAACACAACTATTAGCATTCTCTTCATGGTTTTAAATTGCGGTTGCGACTGCGGATGCAGTTGGTGTTGTGACTATTACGGATACTGCGATATGGATTGCAATCGTTGTGGCGTTAATTTATTTTTTATGAACATAAAATATTATAATTTCTTATTTATTTTATATTTCACATTACTTTCATTTCATCTCTAAATTTTATACTTTCTTGTTAACAATTCACTATCACTTTGAATATCTCTAATCCTTTAAAACATATCTTAAATCTATTATATAAGTAGAAAAGAATGTAGACTAAATAAATTTTGCAAGCAATGCATAATCTGATGCGGCCTGATGCAGTCTAATGTAGCTGTTGCGGTGTTATGATACGACTACTGTGGTGTTATGATGCGGATTGATTTTTGTGTAATTTAAGATCACATTGCAATTGCGGCTTAATACAAATGCGGACACTACCGCAACCGCAATATTGCGGCCGCATCACGTGATACGGTCTGCAATTTAAAACCATGGTCCTCTTTAACGCCTATAGCAGTGTAATAAGGATTATACTGTGGTTTCATCAAATGATTGTAATAGGCATGAATTCCATAGAACATCAATGGATTGATCACATATTCTTTTGCTGAATCTTTCTTCACTTCTTCCTTCTTTTTTGGTTCATCTTTCTTTTCCTCTTTAGCTGGTCCAACAGAAATGATTTCAGCATGACAAAACTTCCTTAGCTTAGCAACAACTGTTACCGGATCAGTATCTCCTATTAAAGTTAATTTCTTTAGCTTTCATGTCCACTGAAATTGATTCAACCCCTGCAACAATATTACAGTTAAAAAATTTCAGTATATATATCACTAATACAATTCAATTCAATATAATTTAATTTCATGAAACAAAAAAACTTTAATTAGAGTCAAATAAATATTTATTCACATGAAGCACGTCATTGTCATATGTTACGTGATACCAAAAGGATTATCGCAAAATTCTACTTTAAAGGCGGACTTATGTCATTGTTAGAGTTTAAATGATTTTTAAGTCTTGGTTCACGTTTGAACACATGAATGAAGATAAGCCACCAAACCATAACACTTTCTAGGAAGGCATCACGTTGCTTCTAGTTTGGATCCTCAGGGCCAGACAGTTCTGGATGGTACGACTCTCGTGCTACATGTGTGGATTCAGTTGTTTCTGCGTCTGCACCCTCAGCCATCAATCACGCACATTCGAGTTACTTACTATATATATGAAAAGTTCAACACATGTGGCGAGCCATATAAAATGGTAACTAAAGTACATCCTAGTATATTTTGTTTTAAAATAAATAAAAGTGTAAAGTGGAGAAAATTTTACACAAATAACCAAATTTCCACAACTTAAACTCCATAATACCCAACTTTTTCACATATTTTTTAATATACATATGTTTCAAACTAAAACCGATCAAAGTGGTACAAGACACTTTAGGGATGTTTGTTAGCATAACAATTGGGGATTGTCGAACGAAAAATATTTTTATGTTTGAAATTTTTTGTTTGAACAACACATATTTGTTAGAGACTGCGCCACTTATCACAACGATTATACTTATAAATCATTGTGATATATATATATATATATATATATATATATATATATATATATATATATATATATATATATATATATTTAGGTATTGTGTTTGAAACCCATCCGTAACAAATTACGTAGAGCATAAATAATCTTTGATCACATTTACAATAGATAACCACTATGAAAAGTACCCAAAGTTTATTATATAATATGTAGATTGATTGTTTTTCATACACCTCACTAAAGAAATATGAGCTTTCAAATTGATGAACAAGTCTATAATCTGAAAATTAAGCTATTCTTGAAAATCAACTTAAACAAACCATTGTTTTTTCTGATTGCGTGCGTCTCATCGTGCATTTCATGCTCTTTTCCATATATATTGTGGTTTATTGGTCTAACTCATTTGATACATCGTTATCTTCGATTATGGTTAAATTTCTATAACCACAAGACATTGGATAATCTACCTCATCATCATCACTTATCATCGTAATTGTTATAATTATAATTTTTACGATCATTAGTGTTGATGATGAAGCAGATTATCTAATAAATTGTAGTTAATGAAATTTAACTATAATCGAAGACAACGATGCATCTGAGGAGTCAGGTCATTATGCCATGATCTATATGTAAAAGAACATCAAATGAACGATGAGACACATGTAATTCAGAAACAATGATTGATATAAGTTGGTTTTCAAATACAATTTAATTTGCAGATTATAAGTATCTATGTAAATTTAAATGAATGTATTTTAAGTAAGGGTTAGTGAAATAAACAATTGACATAAAATATAATAAACTCAAACAACATCATACAACAAAACCAGATATTATAAATTTGTGAGCAATGAAAAAGATATATTATAAATGTCCAGGACGCACCTTTTATTGAAACTATTTCTAGAACATGAATCAATTCTGAAGTTCATCTAGTTTGTGAAGCAATGAAAGAGAAATATAAGGAGGAAGAAGCTTACACAACAGCTTCATACTTCTCATGTTTCATCTCATTGTATCTCAAACTAGATGAAGTTTGTTATCGCTGTTGTTTCTTCATTAACTAAAATGTGTTGTTCTTGTTGTGTCCTACAATAACCATGAAAGTTATCAACATGTAAAAACACAAACTTATTTGTCAACAGAGTATGAAAAACATCTTATTTATGAAACTATAAAGAAGAAGTAAAAGGTGGATGGAGTTTTCATCGTAGCTTCATGCTTCTTGTACTTTTTCTATAGCAACACAAACAATATGTAGCATAGCCAAAGTATGGTCTTTGTTAAGGTAGTGAAGACGGATCTGAAAAAACGAGAATAATTAATCAAGAAAAACAACATGCAACAAACGAGATAATGGGGAATGATATAACAATAAGATGTAAGAATAAGACTACCTTAATGTATGAAGCACAAGATTCACGGCTAATAGCAAAGAAGAAGAGAAAAAAGGGTAAATAATTTCACAATAATTCTCCAATAACCGTCAATAAGTGAGAGTTAATTTACTTATATATGGGTAAATTATTTCACAACAATTTTCTAACAACCGTATTGATAAGTATTTATTTATTATAAATATATCACAAAGGTGGAACGTAACAACTGTAGTCATATCCCTTTAAGCTTTTTATGTAAAAAAATTAAAAAAAGGCGTGCCTTAACATTAAAGGAATAATATATATGATGGTGCTGAGGTTCGAACCCATGAAAGCTTGATAGTTTTACCACGGTTGGCTTCTCAACCGCTATTATATACAAATATTTTTTAAGTAAAAAACAAAAATAATATGACAGCGCCTTATTTTAGAGATGTCACCACGGTGTAGTGAAGAACCGTGGTGACCATGACATTGTTGTTTATGCGTTTTGTAGTAGTGAATAGATCCCGATTGAGTTGTCGATATTTCTACTCCTTTGTGTTCTTTATCTCCAAATATTTTACGTACGAACGATCAAATTGTTTCTATTGAAAACACAAGACTTCAATTGTGATCTGTCTTTCTCTCTCTACTTCCTTTGAGTTCTTTATCTCCAAAGGATCCCTTGCATTCTTTATCTCCAAAGGACTTCACTTGACCGCAATCACCTCTTGAACGTCTTGCACAAAAACCCCCAAATCAATCAATGATCTTGGAGGAAAAACTAGTTTTTCCAGATGAAGGCCCTTACAAATCTCTACCCAATATCTTTGACTACACAAGAACCTAATCGGACGTTATCAAACCTCATCTAGATGTCACCCCAACAAAAGGTCATTACAATAGAATGTTAGTGTGTATGCATAGATTGAAGGTTGAAGATGAAGAGAAAATGTAGGCTAATTGTATGATATCATCAAGTTATGAATGATGCTTGAATGAGTATTTATAGTTATGGAACTTTAGGGCAAAAGGGACAAATTTGAAATTAAAAAGATTTGAGAAAATTGACGAAACAATCAATATGTGTTAACCTATAAATCATATGTGTCGACACATACATTATTTTTAAGTTGTAGGTGTCGACGTATGTGAGGCTATGTGTCGATCTAACCAAGTCAGAGGCTACATGCTTTAAAACAATAGTAAATGTTTCAACTTGAAAATTGTATGTGTCGACACATAAATTAAGAATTTATACAATTTCAGAAATCCTTCATTATGTGTCGACCTAGGCAATGCATGTGTCGACTTGAGCCTTCCGGAGGCTACATGCTTCAAAAATGAGTTACATGTTTCGACCTGAAAAATGGATGTGTCGACACATGCAACAAAAGAATATGCAGAAACTTGTTTTTAATGACTTGTATTAATTTCAAAATTATTTTAATGATTCCTAAGACCTCTAATGCAGAGGAGTGCTACAAGACATAGGGATACCGTCCAATATACAAAGGTGCTAGTTCTTCCCATTTTTGACATCATGCAAAACATCAATTGACGAAGTTATACTCACATACTCCCCCTTTTTTATGATGGCAAAACTTGCGACGATGCATTCTTGTATTTATTGAAGGCTCCCCCCTGACTTTGTGCTTTCCAACTTCGTCTTGCATATGCCTCTCCCCCTTTGACAACATCAAAAAGAGAGATTGCAAACCTTGAGAAGTATCATAGTTCCAAAACAATACATATGTATCACTTAGAGGCTATTGTGTATAAAAGAGAAACAATCACATATCCCCATATATATGTAAATGATGTGAAATTTTAAATAACATGCGAACAACATTACAACAACTTTAATGAAATGCACAGAGAATAAACAAGCAGGAGATAACAAATATGTCAAGTTGATTTTATAGGGTCACGATCAAGTAATGCATCATAGTGGTACTCCCGATGTCGCACACGCATGTGCCTAGCATAGCGACAAGAACATGTCGCTACTAAAACCAAAATGAAGACGTTTTTCATACCATGTAGCCAAGACAACAAGAGACACATATAGCAAATATCATGCATAAAAAAAATATCAAGCAAAGGTGCAAGAAAAAAATAAATACTAACACATGCTTCCACAACAAGAACAAATTTATTCAAGTGTGAAAGAATTAATACAACAAGTCATTATAAGCATATAGATTAAGAACACACAATGGTTATTATTATGAAAATTTTGGAAATTAACATTCATGGTTTTCATCATTTGAGAAAATATTAAGAATTTCTGGAATTAAACAAGTAACAAGCATTAAGGCAAGTCTTACTTTCAAGGAGAAATTGAAACGATATCACCTCACTCTTTAATGGAATAGAAGTTGCACTCACATGATGTAGGTTACTCAAATAAAAAACTAGAGTGAAAATATAAAGTGCAAGCAGAAAGATAGAATTAAGCAACATTTTAGATATCAATGATCCCCAATTCTCTATGTATATGTTGATAAAAGGTTCGGTTGCAAGAGGTTTTGTGAAAATATCGGCAAGTTGATTTTTACTATCAATATGCTCAAACATAATGTCCCCTTTTTCAACATGATCATGAAGGAATTAGTGACGTATCTCAATATGTTTAGTGCGAGAATGTAATCCATGATTTTTGGTTAGATTAATGGCACTAGTGTTGTCGCACATGATAGGAATACACGAAACTTTAATG